TCCGTTCTGGCAGCAAAACAACACTCGCGTGTGCGTGAGTGAATGCGCCTGGTGGGAATCGAACCCTGGCGTTCTGACTGGAAGCTGGACACTGCGCCACGAAGTCGGCTTCGTGAGGTTCCTCGTGCCCGTGATCCAAGTGTCTCCAGCTCGGAGTCTTCTAAGTCGCATGACGCTGGGCACTTCGTCGATGTGTGTCCTGGGATTGAGAGGCGCAGTGACGGTCCTCGCAGCACATCCAGAGCTCGTGGCGCACCTGTCGACCCTGGGCTTGCCCTTGTTACCACCGCCAGAGACGCGCTGGCGCCGCCGCCCTTCGCGCTGTCTCCGATGTCTCCGCCTTGTCGGTTTTTGAGTTTTCTTCAAATGTGCGTATGTTGCCCAAGCGCAACTTAGAGAGGAGGATGATGTAATGGGCCCAACTCCAATTCCATAAGTGGGTATATATTTCCTTAGTTATTACATAAGTAGGTACAGTGCCACACGGGTCATGTGTCATTATCTGATTGGTTGATAGTGAGGATCCAGACTCACTTATTGACCAATCAGGTATATACATGTGTTTGAGTGACTTACACGAGGCCAGTGGTAGCCGCCCTGGTCCTAATTAAATCAGAGTTGAATTTGACACAAACCTAAGACTTGGTTTTACTATTGCGAGCTTCCTCCACACTATAGTGTAAGCTAGTGACGGTATCTCTTACCCCGTTACACTATTGGGACGGTCTCAAGCGTGCGACGCAAAGTCTATGGTAAGCTTCAAAACGCGACGACGCTGAAAGAGGCGATGGGCCATGCTACCAAGTATGAGATGTCTCATTTCGGTGGCGAGCGCAACCCGACTGCGAGAAGCCGGAGCGTGAGCAACAGTCCCGCGGACGAGCAAGCTCTAACCATTCCAACAACAAGAAGCCGTTCAGCAAGAAGTCCTTTAAGCCCGGTCACTACGCTCCCGCAGAACAAGCCAAGTAAGGACCCGGGTGCTACTATTGCAAGAAGCCAAAGCACTTCAAGCGTGATTGCAAGAAGCTGAAGAGTGACAAGGAGACTATCAGCTACGCCAGTAGCGAAGAAGATTTAACCGTAAACGAGGATACGCTGAAGCTGCTTTGCGAAGCCCCTCTCGTCTACTCGTGTGCCATTGTTTTCAATTGAAGGATCAATAGTACAGGGTGTAAACAATTTCGGTACCAGGATCCTGTTGGTTTGTGGTGCCACAGCCGTATACGTGTCTCGTGGATTCGTCAAGAAGCACGAGCTGAAGACACACGCTTACACCGACCGGACTGTCAAGGTGAATCTCGGCGACAACAAGATCGGCGAGTCTATCGTGGAGTTGGTGAAGATCGAGATTCTACTACAAGGTGTCCCACATTACCAGTGTGTGGCAGTTGTCTTCGATATTCCTGAGGAGTTTGACTGTGTTCTCGGGATGCCATTCTTTGTGGATGTACATCCGGAAATCGACTGGAAGAATCGATGCTTCAAGGTATGCGTCTCAGATGGAGCCTCGAAAGCGGACATTTCGACTCCTGTGGGAAGTGCAGTCAGGTAAATGGCTCTGGACTTCACGATACTGCGGATTGCGAACGCTCTTCTGCGATAAGCCGTGATTCATGTCGAGTTTCTGGCACGGCTGGAGGGCGAAGTTTAAAGCGTTGATAGACCAGCTGAGGACGTGGGGAAGCTCTCGAAGCGTGGGAGGAAGAACGCTAGAGCTGAAGCAATGTTTACTCTCGGAGTGGTCGATTCGGAAGGAGTTGAGACCAAGTACATCACTAGGAAAAAGCTACGGAAGTTCCTACGGTTACCTGCGAAGGATTAACCGGAACACGACTTCATGATTGTGGTAACAAAACGATACGATCAAGGAAAACGAACGAGACCTTAAGAGGAGCGATGAACCAGACAACGTTGGATCCGAGAAGGCCAGGCGATTCCTAAACACGGACTGGGAGACGCTCAAGGATAACCCAGCATACCCTGTTCTCGTCGAGTACAAGGATAATGTGTTCAAGCCAGCGTTGCCCGATGGAATGCCAATGGAGTGAGATATTGAGCACCGGAAGGATTCAAACACTGCAATGTATCGGCAGCAGTGGCGTCTCTCGCCAGAGCAGAAGACAGAAATCGACAAGTGGGTACGCGAGATGATCGCGAAGGGACTGATTCGACCAAGCATCAGCCCTCACGCTGCACCGACATTCTGCGTACGCAAACCCGTGAGATGGCGTATCGTTCACGACTACCGGTACCTCAGCAGCAACATGATCAGACAGAGCGTGCCGATAACTCGCAAGGAAGACGTGATCGTTAGTATGGCTGGCGCCTACTATTTTTCGTGTATAGATTTACTGTCAGCGCACTACCAAGTTCGAATGAAGATGGATCATGCGAAGTACACCGCATTCCAAGCGCCAAGCGACCTCTATAAATACCTGGTACTACCTATGGACGTCAGCAATGCTCCTGCAACTACGCATAGGTCGACGTCGTCGTTGTTTAAGGGGTTGTTGCACACCAGATCATTCTACGACGATATCTACGTGTTCAAGAAGTCGAAGGACATCAACGAGCACTTGCAAGCGCTACGCGACGTGCTGGAGATACTCAAGGACAGAGGTCGGAAAATACAATACTGTATGTATTGATGGCAAATTTTTGCTGCAATAAAAATTCCAATATGAGCACCCAATAATAAAATTGCCGCAATTTAAAAATATTGGAACAATATTTAGCTATGTCTTGCCCTTTGCCCGTGTACTCTTGCACCAGCCATGATCCCCGTTAGTATGCTGGCCCGATAGTCGACTGGCCAAGCCACGCCAAGCTCCTCATCATTAAAAGTCGCTATCATGTTCTGTGGTAGGTCTGACGACGGCTGCCAGCTTAGTTCTTGAAACCCCACCCAAGAAACTAAAAAGTAGTCTTGCCCGTCTTGACTAGTTTTCTTAGCGTATATTCTATCAGCAACATATAAGTCGGGGCCATCTTCAAATTCTGAAGTTTAATCTTCTGAGTCCGTGTTATCCTGGAGAGCCTCTAAGAAAGGCCGGCACCAGGGCAATTCAGCTGCTTCCTTCTCCAGCTCCTGCAAACTTTGCTCCAGGCTGTCAGGTAGACTTGTATGTTTTATCTTCTTCTGTCGTTTGGCGTTAGCAAGTGCGAGGAGTTGTTTGTTTCGTTTGCTTTTACGTGGCATTGCCGGTCTGGAAATGTAGCTGCTGCTTTACAAGTGCACTATGTCAGGCAGCGGCTGCACCTACAATTCTTATCTAGAGGACGACACATCACCTTCATGATATGAGGTGATTATTCCCGACAAGATAGCGAGTCAAGAATAGTTTTCTTGACTGGGCATCTTGTTAGAATATTTGTTTATCAGTGATTCATCGGAATGATGTAACAACTAATAATTTTGTGCTATTAGTTGAGATTAGAGTACCCTGTCCCTCCAGTTTGTTTCCGCTCGTTGCCGCAAATATTGCAGCGAAACAGCCCTTGACCAAGTGATGTGAAGAAGTAGGCGGCGATTTGCTTGCTTAGGACCATCGTAGCTCAAAAATGAAGTGAAGTTTGAGCTGTGGCTCGCGTATCGTAGCTTACCAGACACACTCGTAGCCACCGGTGTCAGGTTGGTGTGGAGATGGTGTGGTGAACAACGAAAATGATGTCATAAGATCTGATTGGTGATGTCATCTCGAAACAATTAGACGGTTCCTACTATGGAACCTTTTGCCATACTTATTGCCAATAATTGGTCCAATACCATATTGTATTGATAAGCTCAACTACCAATAATACATATTTACATTGCAAAACCCAATAATTTATTGAATCGCAATTATTACTTCTGACCTCTGCTCAAGGAGAACAAGCTATACGTAAAATTGTTCAAGTGTGTGTTCTGCGTTGAAGCGATCCCATGTCTTGGTGATTTTATTGGCCGAAACAGAGTTCGTATAGACCCAGACAAAGTACAGACAATTCGCGATTGGCCCCAAGAAAACCTCCACAGCTTTCTCGGTTTAACAGGATACGTGCAGCGATTCTGTGAGCAGTATGCTGAGCTGATGGCACCACTGTTTACTCTGTTGAAGAAGAAAAGCCAGCGGAACGCGAAGGTAACAATTGCAGTTGAAAAGCTTCAAGGATCTTAAACGACGACTATCCGACACACCAGCTCTACATTTACCCGTCTTTCTTACAAAGCAGATGCACTTGCGGATGGACGCAAGTCGGTTCGCTGTGGGTTGTGTTCTCTTTCAGGTTGTCGATGAAATCGAGCGGCCAATCGCTTATACCAGCCGGAAGATGAAGTCAGCAGAGCTGAAGTACCCAACTCAACAGCAGGAGCTACTCGCAATTGTTAACGCATTGGCGTCGTTTCGGATTAACTGTTTGGATCGACCGGTGATGATCGAGACGGACCACAAGTCACTCGAGGGAATTTTTCAGCAGAAGATGGCGAATCGACGGTTAGCCCGGTGGTACGATATCCTCGCATAATACCAGTCAGTCTTCGCGTATTTACCAAGAGTGAAAAATGGTATCGCAGACGCACTGTGTCGTAGACCAGATCTTAAGCCTGAGACAAAGGAGTTCCACGATTTACTCGTCCCAAGCTTCAACGAGACGAGTTACCAACTTTGTGTTGCCGAGATTTGGCCAGCAAATACGCTGATTAAGTTGATTATCAACGGGTACGCTAAGGACAAAACCATTCGAAAAATCCGACGCGCGATCAAGAAGGGTGGTACGACAGCAGCTCAAGAATTTATTTCATTTCAAGATTGTGTTCAAGATCCAGCTAAACGTTCAAGGTTTACAAACTTCAAGATTAAATTCAAGTTCCAGGCGCAAGTTTAAGTTTACAAATGACAAGATGAAAAGGAGCCGTGCTATTATCAAGTTAGCCTACTTTTCTTTAAACCGATATTTTAACGAATCAGGACGCGTCGGACGAACCGCACTTTCGCCAGCCACGAAAAGGCGCATTCTTACAGCGGCATCTGCACGAGGCTTTCATCGGAAACGAAGCAACCGTGCTTCGTCACCTGCAGCATGAGCGCGTGCGACTTACGCTGAGATCCTGGAAGAACACCTGCGCACAGATACACGCCAGGAGCCAGCAGCAGAAATTCCAGACCGACGCAAGCTTGAACGCCTTCGAGACGAAACTGGACCTGATTTACATCAATCGTATCCTAGATCTCAGCGCGGTTTTCGCCCACCAGTTGACCGAGACGCATTCTGCTTGGTTCGCGCCATGGTAGGCTCTCGATGGAGCGATTAGTTGCGCAGCCTAGGACACAAACACAACAGGGCAGCGGACACAGGGGCAGTGTCGAGCGTCGACTGAGGTAAGTTGCTAACTGGGGAGAGTCCAAGGCAGGTGAGAAGCTGCGGTGGAGACCAAGGCGTATAGCAAAATGGTAGGAAGCGAGGACGAGCAACAGATACGTCAAGACCGGCGGCGGACGCAAACCCACATGAAGAAACAAATATGACGAGCATTTTAAATGCTGGAGGGGTGAGTGTATCGAATAGCCTACGGTAGATCTATCACTTAAGAGATTGATATTAAATAATACAGGGGCTCTCTCAACCAGCTGTTTGGTTGAGGGCAGTTGGTCGGGGAGACCAGCGCACTTTGCTTTCTCCCTGCCAGCCCCAAGACTCTCTTCGTTCTTCTATACCTCCCACAAGGGGCCAGTTTGTTACAAGTATCAGGAAGGTCTTTTTGGCTCACCTCTCCCCATCCTAGGACAGTAGCCTTCGTTTTGAGCTTGTCATCAGATCCGTCGGCGTCTCCCAGACGTGCTGGTTTGTGGCTGGATGACTTCTCTAGTTTGAGCACTACCACATCATTCGTGAGCCACGTTGAGCTGAACTTCGGATGCTCGAAAACTTCCACGACGCGAATCTTCTCAGCTTTTTGAGAGCCTCCTTTCTTACTCTGCTTAGCTTCGAGAGGAACATATGTGTCCACCCAAAACCAGTCAAGGCACGATACAGCCGTGGTGACGTACTGCGGTGAAATCAGCGTGACACCACAAAATCGCTCACCTTTAGTGTAAGCAGAATGTATGGTTCCCACGTAAGAGTACTTGCTGATGTCAGCGTCTGCCCCACCATAGATGCGGTTCTCTTCATCAGTAGTCGTCTCGGCGTCATCACTTCGCTCACTCGCGACAAGCGGAGTGAAACGGGGTTACATGGTGTGGAACACACAGGGGTACGAAGTACCCGGAGAGTTAGCAAACTCTCAGTACATAAGATGGAGAGTTAACATACTATCAGTACCTAAGCTGGAGAGTTAACAAGGTCTCTCAGTACGTTGGCTGAAAGCCACACGTTTTGCATTTGATTACGTGTAGCTATGCTAGATAGTTAAACAGATACATTTACCCCTAGGCGGCTTGGCCGCAATAATAGTAAATAAAACACTTCTGGCTTTGAAGCATAAAAGTTAAGGTATTAGCTTTGAGTCCTGGTCTTGGGCTGTAAGTGTCCTTTGGATAAGGAACTTAGTATTAGTGACTTTTTGAGTCGAACGTCTTCCTCTGACGCTAAAGCTACGGCAGCCCCGCTGCACGGAGACAGCGCAGGCTCACTTTTCAGCTCGGAAAATAAAAGTCCGTTCACTGACGTTGCCATCGCATAGATGAATGCGACACCGTGAGAAATCTTCATCATAACTTGAGAGACCGGGGTAGTGAGGGAGGTTGAAGCTTAGATGGTTACAGGAAATAACTAGAATGAGACTGAGGCGGTCGATTTTCGACCCGAGACTACCTCAACGTATCAATACCTAAATGCCCCAGCTCAGTTAGGATCATACACACACTCTGCCGTAGGCTCACATACTTCGCTCCAGCGCCCTTAGTTTGGGCTGCCCATCCCCCTCCGATATTATATCTGGTCCCAGCAAACACCGTGTTTCTTTTTTTCTGTTCCAATGAACGGATTGTGTTCAGGAGGACAGCTCTTACATATCAGAAAATGTCAAAGCGTTAGGGTGAAGAGTCTGCAAACGCATGAGCCCTGATAAAAGTGGGTGGGTGGGGTCTTAAGAGACGCTAGACTGCTCGAAAAGCCACGTTTAGCCGTCTGTTTTGTTGCGATCGAGATCTCGTCATGTTTTTTTTATTTATGAAATATTCATTTTTTAATCCGACACTTTTCGCAAAATACACAAAAGTTCGGCGACGTTTTTTGTTACAATCCATTGAGAGTTTGTAGTTTTCTTCGTTAAACATCAGCTGTGTTGTACTCTAAAAGCTCAATTAGCTTAGAAGAATAGTGCTGTGCCTTTTTTTAATAAGTCCTCCTGATAAATAGTCCTGACAGCGCAATGGGGGGGGGGGCGGCACTGAACAATCGTGTAGAGGAATCTAAGGCATAAATAGGTTCTTCATAGAAGGAATTGCTGAATCTCTAAATATAACAAAATAAATCATGTACAATATTTATCATGCGTTTGTTACATGATTGCAATCCTGATTGATGAATCAATATACCGTATTCCTTCTGTGATTATCGACATCCATATTCTTGAAGTGAATGCTGCCTATCGCTAAACAAAAAATACACCAACGATAAATTGATCAGGTTTAATCTTGCACTTTGTAAGCTGTCAGTAAGCACTACTGTACAAAATTTAGAGCGCAATGATTGGCTATTTCTATTGTCATTAATGAGTGATCACATAAGGAATACGGTATACTGTACACGATTGAGGATACAGGATATGAATCGATTGCTATCGTGTACAAGGATCACGTGGTTTTTTATTACGGGATGTCACGATGTATGCTCATCTGCCAAACTGACATGTCTCGAATGAGCGCATCTCCGTTGAGGGAATCGTGTAGGGTACGTACCTGGGGTGGCACCAAGTGCAAGGACGGATGTCAGACGAAGTAAAGAGCAACATTAGCGGTGAAGAAGGTGGGCTGTCACTACAAAGAGGACGGATGTCGACTCTCGGGTAACACTTGGTACCACAAGAGGGGGTGTCATGCTTAGGAACGCGTCGAAGTCCGACGCGTCGGTTTAGTTGACTAGAATCACTTTCGGATTTGCGGGGTAAGGGTAACTACTTTCAACAAGCTTCTTTTACATTCTTCTACGACCACCTCCACCACGCGAGAGGCTCCGGCCGTCGGCCTCGCTACAAGAATCGACTTCCTTCCTCCTTTCTTCCTATCGGGCGTGGAGCTACTACGGTCTGGTGTGGAAGGTGCCACTGACGGCGTTTCAAGACTGTTAACGTTCCGGGACGACACCCAAGCATCCCTGTCCCGTGACATTTTTTGGAGAAGCAGGGTAGCTTCACTGCAGGGTAGGAACGTGGAGGAAGGATTGGTGGAGAGATCTGGGGAGACGTCAACAGGGAGTGTCAGCGAATCCAGAAGCGTATTACATTTGAATACCTGCTGCTAAGAGCGACAAGACCCGTGAACAGCGCAGAAGAAGCGTTCCAGAACGGCTCCTATCACACGGTGTGACTGGATATTGGCCAGATTCGCTTGGATTTGTGCGACTAGCTAGGAGCGCGTTATCGCTTAGGGTGCTATGGCCACGGAAGTATCGTTAGAGCAGAGGACTGGGAAAATCGCTTTGGAACGGTTGACTTCGTGTTGAGTCACTTTGACGTTCCGGGAACGCATTGGCTGAGAACGTACCATTGATTGGTGGAGGAACGGATAAAGAGGTGAGGTGTAGAATTACTGGGGTGGAGATGAACGGCGGAAACAACGACGATGCGGTCAGGGGAAAGTATGAGGGTGGAGAAAATTATGAGGTAAGAGGTTGCTGGGGTTACGGAGCACACTCTGGCGTTCGAAAGAACGTCGGCGTGGACCATCGGGGGTACGGAACGCACTATGGTGCTCCAACAGACGTCGGTGCGGGCAACTGGGATTACGGAACGAAGAGGGGTGCTCCAAGAAACGTGGACGTGGCCTATAGGGGTTATAAAACGCACTCGGATGTTAGCGCTCCAAGAGACGTCGGCGCGGGCAACTGGGATTACTGAACGCAGAGTGGTATTCCAAGAAACGTAGACGTGGCCTATCGGGGATATGGAACGTACCCGGATGTTAGCGCTCCAAGCGTCAGCGCGGGCTACGGAGGTTACGGAACGAGATGCGATGTTCTAGGTCGACAAGAAGGCGCTCCAGGATATTGAAACGCGAGGAAGTGCGCGCCCATTGTTGGGCACACGGTCGAGTCTGGGGGTCAGCGTACGACAACTCGTATTGTGGAAATTAACGGAACGCCGTATTTTCAGACTTTGACAGCGCAAGGACAAGTGTTGGGTATGTTGGAAATCGGAAATCGGTATGGTTCCTTCTGGAACGGCGAATCAAGACGGCGGAAGGTGCCGTGACAGAACGACGGAACAAGAAGACAGGATGTGCCGTGTGGCTCGCTCCGGAACGACACCTAGCGAAGGTAAAACGCGACGGGTGGTTCCCTCTGGAACGACGTCGTCAATCGAAGGCAGAACGCGTCGTGTAGTTCCCTCTGGAGCGACGAGGAGCGCATCGTGTGGCTCCTTCTAGAGCTATGGTGCAAGAGAGCGGAACGCGACGTGTGGCCCCCTCTGGAACGACGGATCGAGAAGGTGACGCGCAACGTGTGATTTCCTCTGGAGCGACGTCTAGCAGCGGTGGAACGTGCCGAGTGTCTTCCTCTAAGGCGATGGCAGACGAAGGTGGAACGCCGCTCGGTGGAGAACCTTCTCTGTGGGATGGGGCACCTATGTTAGCTGAGTTAAAGAAGATGGTGGATAAAAACGAGCAACTCAGATTACAAGAACGACTGCGGTTTGAAGCGTGAACATGTGACTGGTGCGGAAGCACTACTAAAAATATCCAAGGAAGATCTATATAGATTCATTTGCAGCAATTTGAGCACGATACTTGAAGAGTTGGCAGCGAAGGTGTCTGCGGATCCGGGGAAGTGGCTTCACTTGCATAAAGCATTGCGTGCTCCTGTGAAATATGCCGAGAGGCAGTCCGGATCTCACATTAGCTGTACGATGGGGCTGGAACGTGCCAAGGGGGTACATGGAGACGTTCCAGTCGAGTCGATGGTGGCTATCACTAGGAGTGTGGATGAGACGACGCTGACGGAATGCGAGGAGACACCGAAGTTTGAGGAGCCTATGGTGAAGACGAGGCTGACGGAATGCGGGCAGGCACTGGCATTTGAGGAGCCTATGGCAATGGGTCATCTCAAGAGGATCGACTCAGATGAAACCGTGCTGGTAAAACGACGGCTGTGGAGCGCTAAGTCATTGCAAGATATCGTGGTTACGCTCCGAGCTGACGCAGAGGACTGAGCAACATGTATCATACACGAATTCGTATGGTGTTGTGGTCGCTACGTCGGACCATCCTAGGTAATGGGCCCAACTCCAATTACATAAGTAGATAGATATTTCTTTAGTTATTACATAAGTAGGTAAAGTGGCACACGGGTAGCGTGAGCCAAAGTGTCATCATCTGATTGGTTGATAGTGAGGAGCCAGACTCACTTATTGACCAATCAGATATAGACATGTGTTTGAGTGGTTCACACGAGGCCAGGGGTAGCCGCCCTGGTCCTAAATAAATCAGAGTTGAATTTGACACAAACCTAAGACTTGGTTTTATTATTGCGAGCTTCCTCCGCACTATAGTGTAAGCTAGTAACGGTATCTCTTACCCCGTTACACCTGGTAGCACTTTGTAGTCCTTCCAGCGACCAAGTCTACGATGAGCCAAGTCCAGATCTCCGGGGCGACCCTGGAGCATGCTGCATTCCCCCATCTCACTCGCGTGGAGTGGGAAGCGCTTCACCGCCTCGTGGCGGTGTCCGGAGACGCTGTCGTCGCATCGCTGCTGAGCTCAGCGACGCCCGACCAGCAACGTCTTGCAGCACAAGAGTTCATGGAACGCGAGCTCGCCGATGCGAATCGGCGGGTGTCAACTCCCTCGCGTCCATCCCAGAATGACGTCGTCAAGATGGAGACGTCTACGTATTCTGGCGCCGGTGAAAACCGGCTCTTGCTAAACTGGTGGTTCCGCGATATCGACATTGCTATCGCCTCGCGACGCATCGAGGCGTCATCCGCCAAGACGAAC